TGACCCTCCGACAGTGCGGCACTCCCTCAGCACTGACCCTCCGACAGCGCCCACTCCCTCAGCACTGACCCTCCGACAGTGCAGCGCTCCCTCAGCACTGACCCTCCGACAGTGCGGCACTCCCTCAGCACTGACCCTCCGACAGTGCGGCGCTCCCTCAGCACTGACCCTCCGACAGTGTGGAACTCCCTCAATCAGAGTGAGATACTACCTTTGTGCTTGCATCTTTGGAGTTGGCTGTGGAACCATGAGTTAGGGATGAGAGAGTGAGAGAGAGAGAGAGAGAGGGAGAAAAGAGTGAGTGAGAGAGACAGAGATACAGAGAGAAGAGTGAGAGAGAGCGAGAGAGACAGAGACAGAGTAAGAGAGAGATACTTAGTGTGAGTGAGAAAAAGACAGAGAAATGTATGAATGTGTTGGACCAAGGGTGAGAGACAGAGTATGGAATTGGGAAAGAGAGAGAGACAGAGTGAGTTAGACTGAGTAATGAGTGTGGAGAGAGAAAGAGAGTGAGGATAGAGTGTGAAGACAGAGAGAATTTGGATGAGAAATGTGGGGAGCTGGGGGAAGGGCGGAGAGAGAGAGAGAGGTGTGGGAGGATGTGATCCCTGCACCTTGGTGGACAGAGGCCTGTGTCTGTGTGTGAGCGGGATCGGAGCATCTCAGTGTGCCTGTGGTTCAGTGTGTGTTCTGGGAGATGAAGCTGATGGTTGAGCCAGGATGACCGTAGCATGCTGTGGAGATATCAAACCTGCAGGCAGTGTACAGAACTCCACCAGGCTCTGCTTCTTCTCTCGCTGCTCCAGGGGCAGTTGCCATGGTACCTGGTGAGGCCGGGCCATGACCTTGATCTTACAGACCATACATGGTTTCAGATTAAAGAATTGGTACTTGTAACTCCCGGCCTTCACCACATCATACTCTTCCTCATTGAGGAAGATCACATGACTGTAGTTGCTGTTGCTGGGCAACCAGGAGACCTCGGCCGATGTCTGTGTGATGTTCTCCACCTTCAGGTGAGAAGGAGCCACACATACATCTTTCCCGACCAACATGGTGCACCTCAGCTCATCGGAGACACCGCGCTCGGTCACACTCTGGACCGAGATACGATAGGTGACATTGGCCAGGTTGAGTTTCTCGATCAGGGCCTTCGTTCTCCCTCCCGAGAGGACGTTACTTCTCACTTCCTTATCGACGAGAACATTGTAGCTGCTCACAGCCCCCCACCCGGGAGGGACCGCTGCAGGATCCCATCCTATGATCGCACTTTTGGCGAGCTGTTTAATTAGGTTAATTCTCCTGGGGTAAGGCACAATATCTTCACCAATTTCATCAATGTTTATGTCCAGTGTTCCTGTGCCATTCTTGTACAATGTGGTCTCTGTTTGACTGGGGAGCACACTCTCTGACTTGGTGTCCTGAAGCACACTGTCACTCTGGAGATGGAGGCCCAGGTCAGAATTCAGTAAATTATTGTCCATCTCCGTGTCCACAGAATGGAGCAGGAACAATTCCTCATCCTGTAACAGAGCGACAAAGTTCGAGGGGACCAGTCCTCTTTGTCCATTCATCAGTTCACCTGCAGGGAGAGGGAAAGAACAGCTTTCAGTACAAGGCAGCAACTTCAAACTCACAACAAATGCCATCGGATCAAAAAGGAGACTATTTGGCCCATTATCCTTCTGCTGACTATCTTCCCACTGCCCTGATCTTTCACCATTGCCCTGAATGTTGTTCCCCAATTCCTGATGAACATGCTGCCCCCCCGCCTCAGTACATCCCTGACCACAACAACTCGCTGCCTCGAGGAGGTTTCTCCTCCTCTCCCCTCAGGATCTTTCTCAATCCATGTTGCAGGGGAGACAGTACCATGTGACCTGTTTGCCCATCACCCAACAGGCACTATTAAAGGCGAGTGATTAATGCTCGCCATCATCCTGTTGGTGCAGGAGACTGGTAAACGGGTCAGCAAGTGGGCAGTGTGGGATTGGGCCCGTGATGGACTGTGTGGGATTGGGCCCGTGATGGACAGTGTGGGATTGGAACCGTGATGGACAGTGTGGGAGTGGGTCTGTGATGGACAGTGTGGGAGTGGGCCCGTAATGGACAGTGTGGGATTCGGACCGTGATGGATAGAGAGGGATTGGGTCCGTAATGGACAGTGTGGGAGTGTGTCGGTGATGGACAGTGTGGGAGTGGGCCTGTGATGGACAGTGTGGGAGTGGGTCTGTAATGGACAGTGTGGGAGTGGGTCTGTGATGGACAGTGTGGGAGTGGGCCTGTGATGGACAGTGTGGGAGTGGGTCTGTGATGGACAGTGTGGGAGTGGGTCTGTGATGGACAGTGTGGGAGTGGGCCTGTGATGGGCAGTGTGGGAGTGGGCCTGTGATGGGCAGTGTGGGAGTGGGCCCGTGATGGACAGTGTGGGATTTGGACCGTGACGGATAGAGAGGGATTGCGTCTGTAATGGACAGTGTGGGAGTGGGTCTGTGATGGACAGTGTGGGAGTGGGTCTGTGATGGTCAGTGTGGGAGTGGGCCTGTGATGGGCAGTGTGGGAGTGGGCCCTGATGGACTGTGTGGGAGTGGGCCTGTGATGGACAGTGTGGGAGGTGGTCTGTGACAGACAGTGTGGGAGTGGGCTGTGATGGACAGTGTGGGAGAGGGTCTGTGATGGACAGTGTGGGAGTGGGTCCGTGATGGACAGTGTGGGAGTGGGTCTGTGATGGACAGTGTGGGAGTGGGCCTGTGATGGACAGTGTGGGAGTGGGCCCGTGATGGACAGTGTGTGTGAGGGCCCTGATGGACAGTGTGGGAGTGGGTCTGTGAGGAGCGGAGGAGGGATAGGGAGCAGAGGAGGGGGAGGGAACGGAGGAGGGGTAGGGAGCGGAGGAGGGGGAGGGAGCGGAGGAGGGGTAGGGAGCGGAGGAGGGGGAGGGAGCGGATGAGGGGTAGGGAGCGGAGGAGGGGGAGGGAGTGGATGAGGGGTAGGGAGCGGAGGAGGGGGAGGGAGCGGATGAGGGGTAGGGAGTGGAGGAGGGGGAGGGAGCGGAGGAGGGGGAGGGAGTGTCTCCAGTGTCCTGATCAATATTTATTTTTACATCCTCAAAGAAAATCTGGGCAGAATCTGCCCGTTGTTGTGGGAGTTGCATAGACACAGACTTGCTGTTGTGATGCTGCATTACTGCAAATAAATACACTTCAAGAACGATAACTGGCTGTAAAACTCTCTGGGACAGCCTGGGATTCCTAAAAGGTGCTACATAGGCTTCTATAACTTCTGCCTGGATTTAGATAACAGTGAGAAGACTGTGATTAGAGCTGTATAGCACTGAAACAGACCCATCAGTCCAACTCGTCCATGCTGACCACATATCCTAAATAAATCTAGTCGCATTTACCATCATTTGGCCCATATCCCTTTAAACCCTTCCTATTCATATACCCATCCAGATGCCTTTTAAATGTTGTAATTGTACCAGCCTCCACCACTCCCTTTGGCAGCTCATTCCATACATGCACCACCCTCTGTGTGAATAGTTGCCCCTTGGGTCCCTCTTAAATCTTTCCCCTCTCACCTTAAACCTATGCCCCTCTGGTTTTGGACTCCTCCACTTGTGCATGTTCATTTTCTTGTCAGAACCTCCAGCAATGGCAGACACAGAGATTCTGATCGTGGTTAATAGTTGCTCTTGTGCTCAATGCAGCAGGAGAGTTCAGAACAATGACAGTATAAAGAATGTCAGAGAACTGATCAAATCTCGGTTTCCAAACATTGAAACAACAAACCTTCATAAAAACCATCTTCATCCATGTCTCCGTAAACGTACAGGTATTTCCCAGCTTTAAGGGGAAGTTCTGCTTCTGGATTCTCATTGGGTCCCTCATATGGGTTGTAACTAAATTCAAAAAAGAGAGACAATGGGAGTAATTGAAGAGAAGCCTTGAACTCTGGTGTAAAATCTAAAGTTTAATCCACTGTCCTGTGAGAGTCAAAAATAGGAACATGTTGATGAGAAAAGATCAAGGTTCATTACATTCACCTTCTCCAATCCATACAGTCACATGATATAATTGTGATATTCTAATACCAATGAGTTTGGAATTTGGAATTTTGAATTTTGAACGAGTGGCATAAGAGGTTTTTGTGTGCCTGAAGGGGTTTAATGATTAACTTGTATACTTTGCTGTAGTCATGGTGA